GGGGGGGGGGACCTGGGAGGGGGTGCACACCCCATGGCCTGAGTCTGCAGCAGAATGGTGCTGTGCTTGCAGGCAAGCAGTGTCCCGCATGTGGCACCCATATGTGCAAGCGCCGTGGTCACACCAGGACCCCCTTCCCTGAACAAGGTGAGCGCATCTCCTCCATGCCCCGCAATGAGGCTCAGCCAAGCTCCCCCAAATGCACCCGGCCCCTGGTGACATGGTGAGGGCTGGATTTGGCATTGCCACCCACAGGCAACATTCTCCAAGTTCTCAGATGTCCTACCCAGCCTGTCCCACCAGCTCCGAGTCTTATCTCTGCCCTCTGGACCCCGTGGGACTTTGCTCAGTACCCAGCCAGTGTCCCTGCTGGTGGCCACTATCTCTGAGCAGAGCCCTGCAGCGCCTGGTCTACGTTAGCAAGCCATGGCAGCAGATGATGCCAAATTCGGCCATCTCTCAGCGCTCAGACATCCTGGAGGAAAACCCATGCCAGGGCACAGCCTCAGAGGAAGCAGAGCGGCCAGAGAGGTTTCCCTTCCTGTGCTGGGATGCAGGAACTGCTGCTCTCCTAGGAAGGAAGCTCACCAGCTGCCTGGCTGCATTACCGTGGCAGCCAGGCACCTCACTGTGCCTGAGACATCCTTTCCTCCCACCCTGGGGCTGGCAGGCAGACCTGAGCTGTGAGATGCCGGGGCATTCCAAGCAGAAGGGCTCTGACCCTGGTGACAGAGCTTGCAGCCTGACGTATCCAGCATCAACCAGTTCACAGTTATCCCCACGCACCTTGTGTCAGGGAAAACGCTAACCCAGCAAAAGTGTTAGCTCTGGCAGGGGCAAGTACCACCACAGAGATGTTGGTGGGCTGCTGAGGACCCTGAAATCCCAGTATCTGGGACTGAGCCCCATGCCAAAGGTGCCCAGCACCTGGCTGGTCTGAGCCAGCATGGGGAACAGCCTAAGGAGGCAAGCCCGTGGCTGTATCTCTCCTTTCCTTGGCACCGTTGCAGGCTGCAGGGCACAAAACAAGCATGGTGCCTCTTGCTTCCATGCCCCTTCCTCAAGAAAAGGGCTGAGAGTGGGAAGAGGGATATTTGCCCACTAGAAAGGGAAATAGATGCATGGTGCAGTGAAAAGACTTGCCACAGAGCAAGGTGGCAGGGCCTCTGCTCTAATACGATGTCTTACACCGCCTTTGAGGGCAGGATGAGGATCCAGGTTTCCCAAGCAGTGAAGGACACAAGAACTCTGCCTGGGACGTTGCCCTGCACATGCACTGTGGCCAGGCAAGTAGCTCTGCACAGCCAGGCATGTTCAGGACCGCCCCCTAGAAATACAGGATTGAGACGGTGATGGAAACCTGTCCCGCTTTGCAGGGAAGCACCTTCCACCACCCGGGACCTTTTCCTCCCTCCATCTGCATGGGGAATAATGCACGTTCCTCCTTGCCAGCGCAGGCCTTGTCTGTGCACAGCTGAGCAAGGAGGCTGGTGCCAAAGGGACCAGGCAGGGGCTTGCCCCCACAGCTCTGCTGCTGAGCAGAGGCCTGGCA